AATACGCTGAGTCGCATATTGATGATTTTTTACGGATTACTCGGCATACCGATGAACGGAATTTTATTGTCTCAGTTAGGAGAATTCTTTGGTCACGTTTTCGTAAGGGCTCATCGCAAGTACAAATCCTACAAGAAACACCAAAATGATTATGCGAAAAAATTGACGCCTCTTGAAACAAGAAAAGCTGGTCTCGCAGCACAAATCTTCATGTATCTCATTCCTGGTTTCGTCATGTTCATCTTTTTCCCGGCTTTCCTTTTCTCTCACTACGAGGGCTGGACTTACGATGAAGCTGTTTATTATGCTTTCGTAACGTTGACAACAATTGGCTTTGGAGATTATGTGGCAGGTCAGAAAAAAATAATTTTTAAATAAATAAACATTCGTTCATCAAAATGTGTGACTAATATATCGATTAAAATAACGGCTAACATTGAGCAAAAAGAAAACCAAAAAAGAGAATGAGGGAGAGAGGTCTCTTCGTGTTTTATCTTCCTTGAGTTAATTTCCTATTACCCCACCAGTCTAAAATCAATTAAAGTATCAATTAACGGCATCATCGGTTCAATCAATCTAGAATATCGTTAAACTGATTATGTCTCCTTGACAATCTGCGCGCATAATCGTACACAGAACGCAATGAAAAAGGAACAAAGCGGCAAATAAAGCAGAAGACCCGTACGGGTCAATTGATGTTACTTGATGCTTTCAATTCTAGAAGATTTTATATCTGATATTCAATTCGTGACTTATACATTTCATAATAAATTTTTATATACTCATAATGCTGTTCATACTTTAAAGACCGGACTACATTTCTTCTAACATTAAAATCGTATCTTTCTGTTGGTACATGCACACATTAGAGAGAAAGACAATTTTTGTCTTGGTAAGTAGAGGCTAAATAATTGTAAGTATAGTCAACAAAGAATCATTAGATATTGTATAATGATTCTTTTAATAATAGATTGTATAATGAAAATACAAAAAATATTTAATTGTTGACATATTATCGAACAAATAACATCGTGTTCACAGGACAAGACAACACAAAGGGTAGTGGATTCTTTTTTGTAATGTACAAAACCTTTCTTATTTGCTGGGTCTCCTTCGGATTAGGCTATATCGTCATGATTATGACCTTCATCGCTCAAGGTATGCGCAGTAAGAAGATCATCAGGATCGAGCACAAATTGGCGATGAATTTAAAACACACACAAAGCAAGATATGGAACGAGTTTAACAAGGAGATCAACTACTTCCGAAGAGTCTTTAATGAGCTTCAGTTTTCCAAGGTCAAAGTATGTATTATCTATATCTATAATTTTGGCATAGAATTATTAATATCATAAATGAAAAGTTATCATTTACCATTTGCGTTACATTTTAGAGAGTTTACGTCGATGAATATGATTATGAAATACCGCCGACCAAATTTTCACGAAGTAACAGTTTTCCAGATCTCAGAAAGTTGATATATGGTGGCTTTGAGACCTCAGTACCTTTGCATCCTCGACGTCGTGCTAACAGTGAAGTAGTACCGACGGTATGTACGAAATATATATCTATTCATTATTTTAGATTATTATTTATCAATTGTATGTTATCCAGGAACCATTAATACGAGTGGTATCGGAAACTGATCTCCAACGAATCGATAAAACGGCTACATTTGCTGCTCACGCAATGGTACAACCAGCGGAACTATTATCAAAATTGGTAAACGTTTTGGGCTACATTCCACCACCTGATGATAATAACGACACTTCCGATTGGGATCAGGAATATAAAAACAAAGAAGACTCGAAAAAGACAGGAATCGAAGGATTTAAAGAAAAAGATATCTTTAATAAACAGAATACTTGGAATGAGTCAAGTTGGAGGATCGGTGCTGATAGAATTCCTGGAATGATGCCACGATCGAGAGCAGCTAGCGAGGTGAGATTGAATATGAACAAAAATGAGTCGAATATTCATCAACAAAACGGAGAATGGACTTGGTCCGGACCGGCTGCTTCGAGGAAGATTCAGGAATTGATAAAAACTCGTAGAACTGGTCTCTCTGGTATTAAAGACAGTAAATCGTATAAATTTCCTGCGATTACATTACCCAAGTCAGTACCAAAGAATCTCTTCTCTCCTTGGAGGCGGCAATCATCGAACAAAAAGGCACCGGACACTGAACAGTCCATTCAAAAGGGTACTCTTCCTGATATCGATCTTGAAGCAGGAGAAAATTATTCGTCAATAACAGCAAATTCTGATTTGTTTTCATCCAATTTGGACGATATCAGTGAAACCACAACATCGAGACGTCGATATTATACTCACACAGGTGCCAACAATTTGATGGAGAGTAATAATATTTTGGAAGAGACATCTTTAGCCGATTTTCTTAGAGCTCTCACTGTTCTTCATGCAAAAATCAGCACTGTACCTAGTGATTACTCGAACACACGTAAACCTCAAAGAAAAATGGGTACTGCTTCATTGACGCCACCTAAACTTCCAAGTCTCTTCACTTTGTTCTCGCAATCCGCAGATAATCAAAATCATAGTCAAAGTAATCAAAGCACAGTGACCACATCATCGTTGCAAACCAATAGAAGATACTCTCTAAGACCTAGCGAATACTCACCGGCGTCTACGCCATCGTACGCAAGACGTGAAAGTATGATTAATTCTATTAAACCCAGAAGATTTTCCTTGAGACCTGTTGCTACTCCAACCAACACGCCACCGGAATATACAGCGTCTTACTTGGTAAATATACCTATTGATCTTATTATTTTTTTTTGACTTTACATCATCATATACCATTTTTGTTCGTTCAGATAAGTTAAATAAGTGAATATATCCTATGTTTACAAATACAAATGATTATAGAATTCGCGAATACGTGATGACCAGAAATCCCAGTTTTCCTCTCTCGCGGATACTTTTGTCTACGAATCTGCCAAAAAGCCACTGGTGCAAATGGAAGGAACACCAGGTGTCTCTTCACCGATCGCAACGTTCTCAAACATTCGACGTTTGTCTTTACGACCTATGCCCCAAATCCAACAACCATCTAGTCAACAGATTCAAACCACTAAAGCTCTACCACGTTGGAAAGCTGGTATGTTACAACGACAGATTGGTAGGATGAGCGTTCATCGTCGAGTACGAGCCTTCAGTTTAAGCGATGTGCAAGCAGATAAATCTGAAAAATCTACTGGTCTAAGCCCATTAGTAATAGATGATAATGGTAAACCAGTAACATCTATTGTTTCTTCGAGTAAGCCGAATGTTTCTGCAGTTCAGAAGACCGTTACGATCGTATCACCAACGAAAAACGAAGTTCTTCGATCGGACAGCAATGAGTCGACCTCTGTCGATAATCAATCCCTCGTAAATACATCCTCCAATCCTTTTGTTTCCTCTTTTGTAACGACAGAAACATCTGGTAACAATGGCACTGCTGATAATTTTCAATTTAAAAACGTTCAAAGCGATGAAGTAAGCAGCAATATTGCATTAAACAATTTACAGAGAACGTCTGAACGTGAAATAAACTATAATGATACTTCTAAACAAGCTAACTCAGAAAACAAAGAAAGAAATATAGAAAATATGGAAGTTGCCAAAGAGATTACAGAAAAATTAATTTTCCATAAAGATCCTGCCAATTCTAAAGAGATTTTCAATGACAAATTGATATTGCCTAAAGACGTATCGTCAAATATTAAAGATAGTTCAAAGAACAGCTCGAAATCGACGACTAGTTCTACGATCAAATCTTCGAACGAGAAACCAAGGATATTCATAGATTTCTATAAAACTTCGTTAGATGTTAAAATAGAAAAACCCAGCGTAAATCCGTTTTTGCAATATCAAGCTACCACGAGTGGTTCTCAATATGGGAACACCAATCCTACGGAGATTAAAGGAGAAAAAGAGAATAAATCGCAATACGGGCAGAGAAAATTATCGGTCGAAGCACGAAAACCATGGAAAAAAGAATGATTTATTTGTTTATAGAAAACAACGGTTTTACACCATTTAATGAAAATTGTATCTTTCTTTTTTTCGATAGGACATTTAACAAAACAATTAGATTATATTTATATAAATTTTCCAACTTTTTAGATTTTTAAGAAGATCCTGTTTCTTATGAATTTTCATATCGATTTATCATTAACGGATTTTCTTCATTATAATTTTTTGTATCTTTCGAAATTATAAATTGTACGATATTTATAATTTAAATCAATAATGTTTAACAATATGAAATTGATCTACTCCGATCGTATAATTTGATTTACGATCAGAATTCTTAATTTTAATTCATGACAATCTAAAAAGAGTTGCATTTACGAAAAAATGAATGCAATATCGATGATATAATACGGACGTAATAAATAATTCACGCTGATCTTAGCAATATTTAACGATAGCTTACTCTTCAGACGTGGCGTGATTATTGAGATTACACTTCTTACTCGTATGATTACTCGTAGATCTAAGTTTCTTTATCAAAATGATAAATCGCTTTTAACTGTCTATAATATAGAGAATAACTGTGATAAAGTAACTATAATAAAAAAAAAAAAAATTTAATTATATTGTATATATCATCATGTATTACAATACTTAGTATTTATTTCATTCGTTTAAATTAGAAAAAGTTTCTCGAACTACTCATTGCAATACAATAATGACAATAATAGTAATAATATTCTAACAAAGTTTGATAAAACGATTTTAATCTTTATTAATTTGTTAGAAATTTAACCATACGTGCTATGTAAAAGATATAAACAGTTTAAAAAATGAACATTTTTTTTTTATTTAATACATATAATAAATTACAATGTTTTCTTGTTAATATATTTTATATTTGGCGAGGTGTGTCATAAAAAAATGACTATCTTCATTAGGTAAATATAATATGGCTTATAGCCGTAAATAATGCAAATTTGTATTTATGTACTTCAAATGAGAAAATCATTACTCAGTTAAAATGCAATGTACATGTTTATTGTTGATCTAACTATAAACAAAAAAAAGAATAAATAATCATAATTTGCTCGCTATGTTGAGTTTTGTAGCCGTTTCCGAATTTCATCGATAAGTTGATTTCTTGGTATTGGAACTTCCTTTCGTGTAGTAACTTCTCTTAGGGTGACTTCACCTCTCGCTATCTCTCCCTCGCCAAGTATTATCGCTAAAGGAATACCATATTCTTCACAATACTGCAATTGTGCTAATAATTTGATATTTTTCTTGTACGCCTGTTCAGCCTTAATACCAGCATCCCAAAGATCCGACAAAACGCGCATTCTTTCTTCGTGTAAATTTTTCTGAGCACTAGCTACAAATACTTCTACTTCTGTTGTTCGTATCTTTACACCTTCATTTGCCATTTTAGCTTCTAAGACACTAAAAATACGTTCGACACCTAACGATACACCTACGCATGGTACGGTTTTTTTCTTGCTGTCAAACATTCCGACTAAATTATCATAACGACCACCTCCGGCTACGCTACCGACACCAACATCATCACCTAAAAATAAAAAAAAAAACAAGAAATATACAATTACAGAGAATAAATAAAATGTATAATAGTGAAATTAAGAATTTTTCATTATAATAGAATACATACCAGATAAAATTGCTTCATAAATTACTCCTGTGTAATAGTCAAGTCCTCGTGCAAGGCTTAGATCAAAAACTAACTTGTCTATAATTTTATAAATGCTACAATATTTTAATAGTAATTCCATAGAATCCAATCCAAATACAGCAGATTTATGTATCATTAAATTTTCATCTTTTCTTAATTCTGTTATTAGGTCTACACCTCCAGATTTAGACACATAACTCCAAATTTTATCAGCAGTCTCTTCATTTAGACCTTTTTCTTCTACCATTTCTTTCTTTACTTCTTCCCAAGATGTTTTGTCTAACTTATCAACCGAAGAACAGATAGTTTTGAATTTATCTTGTGGAACACCACATGTAGCAAATATAGCATCGAGTAATGATCTATGATTTAATTTAATTATAAATTTTCCTAGATCCAGAGATTCCAATGCATCTGAGACTACACGAATACATTCAGCATCAGGTATCATAGGATCATATTGACCAGCAATATCAAAATCCTTAATATAAAAATAAATATAATATATTATATATTAAATATGCGCATATTATAGTCAAAATTACAGATACTTACACACTGATAAAATTCTCTGTAACGTCCTTTTGTTGTAGCTGGATTATCTCTTCTATAAACTTTGGCAATATGATATCTTTTAATACTGGATATTTTTCCCATAGCAAGGTATCTAGCAAAAGGTACTGTTAAATCATATCTAAGAGCAAGTATTTCACCTCCCTGATCTTTTAAATCATAGATCAATTTAGAATCTTCACCATATTTCCCTGTTAAAACATCCTAAATTGTCATGTAAAATAAAATATTGTGTTAATAATTAAAAAATTCTATTACATGACAACATTTAATGATAAATATTTATATATACCTTTAATTCAAAAACAGGTGTATCTATAGTTTCAGCACCATGACGTTTAAATACTGAAATTATTTTCTCCAAGACTCCAAGTCGTAATGACATATGTTCTGGATTGTAGTCCCTTGTACCTTTTGGTGTTTTAAGTATAAGTTTATGTTGAACAGCATTTTCCTCTCCTAATTGTGCTTTTAATTCCAGCAGTTTTGAAACCTCATCAGCTATCTGTAAATATCATATTTAATTAATATTATAATAAATTATATAAAAATTACACAGCCCATTTATTTACAAGGTACAACACAATGTATTCATAAGAAGAGATATTAACTGCTTGCCTACCTGTGGGGCAATGACAGATGTGCAGTAATGTTTTCGTGTGATGATAGAAATTTTGGTACACATCAGAGATAACATCATTTAGACAGAGAGAATATGGCGCAACCAGAATGAAAGAGAAAAGTCCGCCTCAGTGGTGATTATCAAACTAGCCGAAACAGTAGACATAACATCGGTAAGCAAACTGGCAAGCAGCTGCCACAAATTACTCTTATTTAACTATATCATGAATATTGATAACATATCATGAATGTTGTTGAGGAGAAATTTCACATTATTCAATATATGAGCTATATTGAACAATTTGTAGGCGAATAAAATTATAAAACTGATTATTATATATAATATATCAGTAATTAGCAATCTATGGTAAAGCTGCTTGCAAGTGGCCAACTATCTCACCTTTTTATCAAGAATATTATTACAACAGGAAATATCGCCAATATTCTCAAGTTTTATTGCCAAGGAAGTAAGTGATGCTTCCATGGCAGGAAAGTTTAAACGTTCAGCTTCAGTAAAACTTTTCATGTTAATATACCATCGATTTAAGTGTGGCCACTTTGCAAAATTGTCATTATAATTACTTGTACATAAATTGAAAAGCTGATTGTCTTTAGATGAAGGGATCCAGCCGCATACATAGCTGATATCCGCAAATTCATTGTTTAAGGTTTCTAAGTCAGGCAATATATTTGAGGATCCCTAAAGAATGAAATGTTAAAAGTATTTACAGACTAATAAATACTTCACAAATTTGGATCTAAGTATTCCATACAATTTATAAAATATATCTTGAATTTATCTATTAGAAATTGAATAGAATTAATTAAAGCTTGCTACAAAAATATTCAATTTCATTTCATGTCTCAATAAACATTTCTATTTCATCATTATATTTTTGTTATGATAAAACAAATGATAAATCTTCGATTAATCAAATATCTACCATGAACACGAAGTATCATAGGATCGGCGATTAAAAGTTTAAACATAAAAAATATTATGCTAATTATAAACATTGATTACATCCTATGATCGTGTTAAACTTTTAAGTATAGAAAGACCTATGTCACGATAAAAACAATATCTCATAATTCCATGAAAAGTATGTAAGTTTTACATCAAGTCATCGCAGCTTAATATTTCTGTTTTATATTACAAATAGAAGCAAAAACGTTAACTTATGAGTATCCACCATATGTACCGCACAGATAAAAGTGATTATTAATTAATGTATAACATCATTGACAGTGTGAACATACCTGAGTTTTATTTCCTTTAGCAGCTTTTAATTTTCGTACAAGATCTCCTTGTTCTTTCACTTGTTGCAACAAATCCTCTCTTCCTTTATCGGCCATCACGAACCACGCGGTCCTTCTTATTATAATTTTCGAACAGTGATGCTGGACTCGCTAGGCAATTTTTTACACTCATTACATTCACTTGCGCATGCGTAACATATGATTTCGTTATTATTCAATGTATTTGACTTTATCATCAAGTTTTATTACTTAACATTGCTTTTTATTATGTTTCACTGCTACCTTTCCGTTTTTCTCCCTTTTAATAATATTAATTATTTTTAATGACAAATAAATTTGATAGGAAAATTTCTTTTTGAAAATATCTGATAAGACGTTATGACAAAAGATATTTCATAAGTATTACTATCTATCATGCGATCTTGGACAATCTATTCGATCGCATTATAAATACCATACCATTCCCTTACTTTCATCAATAATTATTCGAAACAATTACTTTCTATTCTTACCGTTATGTTCCGTGGTATACTCCGTACTGAATGTTCTTGAAGATATATTTCAGATACTTAACCCGAGAGATATTTAAGCGCGCTTTTTAATGTCGTCGGTAATGTTGAAATAGTAATAGCCTTTGAATATCTTTATAGTTTTTACTTCTTTTATTACGTGCATTGTTCAAAAGAAGATACAAAGACAAATTATTTTTGACGAGTTTTCCAAAAACGGATCAGATTAAATTTACAAAAAATAATTACGATAAGTAAAAAAATTTCTATTACGAAAAAAATGTGTCACTTAATACATGAAATTAGTTATGCTTGCAATAACATCATACAAACGGAATAATATCCAGTCATTATACATACTGCGGTTAACAAAGACAGTGCTTAATATATTTTTTTCCATTCAATAGTAATCGGCGATATCGATACTATTGTGTCATTCGAAAAAAGAGGTCGTGAAAGGGAGAAAGTCATTCCCCTGAAGTGTTATTTCCCCTTGATAAATCAGACGTGTACAGTCCGACGAAAAATTTTGACAAAGCTATTCTTCCAAATTAGAAGAAAAGTATGACAGTATCGGATGACTGAACATAAATGACAGCAAAACGTATTTTAAGGTTCATTGAATCTTTACGTGGAAGTAGAACAAACGACAAACGTAATCCTTTCTCTTTGCTATAATAAGATGTACAATAAGGTGAACGAATTAATATAAGATTAAAATCTAAATTATTTAATTTCGGAAAAATTAAATGTTCATGATTTGTGAAATACTAACAATATTAATTTAAATATTAATTTTGATTATAATGAAATGTATGGATAAGATAATACGTCATATGAGTTCGCTTAAATCAGTAGATTAAAAAAATTATTAATTTGGTACTATTATTTGAAAATATTTCTTCTGATTTTGTAAAAATATAAGATTCTATATTGTATGGATGTAAAATATATGACGCATCGATTCACAAAAAGTAACCAATGAGTAAAGCAAGCAAACTTTTCGAACGCCATCTTTGTGATGTAACATCTTGCTGATTGGGTAAGATTTATACTTTCATTCGTCTATTGGAGCGTATTTTAAAGCAAATTCAATAGTTTAGCATATAAAAAATAACTATATAAATAATTATATTTATCATATAATCTATCTAATCAAATAAATGTATAAAATTGATTAGTTTTGAGAACGATTAAAAGTCGATACGCAATAAATATAAAAACTGATATATTTTATATAGTCATGAATAGTATCTGTGTTGAACATCTACGTAATTCTTCGCTAGTCTAATCAATATACTATATTACATAAGAACTATATTTCATTTTATCGATTTAAGATCAATATAATATCTTTGCTAATTAATAATTATCATACGTTATTTTAATAATGTTCCATAAATAAATAATAAGATAGTTAATAAACTCTGAAAAGAAATTCTTATAAAATTTATTTTTACATTAGAAATTTATAATTATCATATAATATAAAAAAAAAAAATTGAAAAATATATTGAGTGTTGAATTAATTTTGGAATTGTAAATAAACAAAAATTTTATATAATTTGCACTGAAAAATTGTATAGACATGCGTAAAAGCGTCCATAATTCAAATTTAATTATCGTCTTTTATATGAGTTATATCGATTTTTATATGAATAATAACTAATTACGTGTACATTTTCTATAGTTGTTTCTATGAATTGATCGGACAATATGTCTCGTTATTGGCTATTATTACGTTGTAATAATCTGCTTAATTCTTCAACTAAGAGGATACAATGATCAGTAAGAATAATGTATGCATTAGTATATCAATAGATATCGTGCTCAATACACCTCAGAAGAGGACTCCTGAGAAGAAGCAAAAAATACATGTAATAAATATTAACTACTATTACCTGACGTAGTTAACTAAAAATCCGAGAGTCTCATATAATTACTCGCGTATACGTTTCTATACCCTCACACATTCTTAGCAAGAAAGATATGTTACGTCAGATAGATAGTAATAAAGGTTAGGCGCCGTCACACAAGAACGTGGCGGCTTTATCACGCCGTACAAAAAGGAATCCATACTGTGTTTTAAAAAAATTGTGATCTCAAGGCACGTTGAAATTGTTTACTTATTGTTGGTAATATCAAATTAAGAATTGTGTATAAATACAAAATTTCAATCTCAGACCGCAGAATTTCTGTGGGCACGAAGGATATCAAAATGGTGGCTGTACAAGACGGGTGATGTGTATGCAGATATTGGAGCGCATTGTAATTTCAGGAGAAACGCGTGTAAGCACGCAACATATTAGAAAATGGGTGATTCAAAGGCTCAACATGGAACACAGGAAATGAAAGGATGGCTTTTTAAGTGGACCAATTACTTGAAAGGTTATCAGAGAAGATGGTTTGTCCTGTCAAACGGCCTTCTGTCATATTACAGGTAGTCCGTAGTGAAATCACTGTTTCCTTTACTAATCTGTTTTTCCTAGCTCGTATGATTAAATAACGAGGAATTTGTACAACTACTCATGCTGATTGTTGTCTGATGAAGTTTTTTCTGTAGGATAGAAAGTAACTTTGACAAAAAGCAGAGCTTTTCCTTCTACAGTGTTAGGTTATGACCCTATTGATCATATTGATGATTTAGAAATAAACCTACTTTGCATATAACTCATTATATAGTATCATTGGATACTAGTCCATTGTTCCAATGAACATAAGGAAAGTTTTGATGACATTGTAAATGTTGCTTCAAATAAAATAGTATTACATATATTCTATGTATGTTACATTATGGATCATTAAAATATCCATGAAGTTTACAAATTATTATGAACAGACATATAAAAAGAATGTATTATTAAATAATAATTATTAAAAATGTAACTATAATAAGAAACATAGTAATGAAGGATCTGAAAACACAGTTGTATATACAAAATGTCGGTGTGATCTTGACACATTGATTGATTTATGAAAACTTTCCTTTGTGGCAGATAAATTAATGTAATTATTATTTTTTTTAAAAATAATTTTGCAGTAGATCCATTTGATTTTTAAGCATTGGTTTTACACAATTTGCTTATTTAATTTATTACATTACAATTTTTTTATGCATACTTAATAACACTAGAACTTAAATATCAGGTAATTTGTTCTTTTCTTGTTTTTCTTTTTTTATTGTGTTATATAATAATTGTAATATTTGATAAAATACTGATCTTTTATTAAGTAGTATTATAATGTAAATGCTAGATATTTTATGTTAAGAAATATGTATTGGAACAGCTCTGCATTTTATATATTATGATAGATAAACATGCCTGCAATTTTCTTTTTTCTTTTTTTTCTTTTTTTTCTTTTTGTTGAAATATGAATAGCATAAATGATAAAAGTAATTGTTTTAAAATTGGCATTATATAAAACAATGCATGACTGTAAGAAACCTACGCAGATATAACTGTACATTTGACATGATGGTTTATCCAAGTAAATTTAAAACCAAAATCGCAGCATTTATATCCCAATTTTCTTGTTCACAAATAATATCTAAAGCATGCACATATGGGAATACATACTAAAATTCTTCAATATGTAGTATAAATAAAACAATGTAAAATTATTAAATTCTTAAATTTGTATAAAATCTGAACAGAAATATTAACAAGTCCTGATAAAGGAGAAAGATGTAAATATGATATGTGATATATAACATGCCCAGGAGAAAGTTATATGTGCTGACCAATCTAAACATCCTCATGCTTAGATAATGAGAATTGTCTCGCCTGCTTATATTTGGATACGCGCATCAGATGAATTTTATTGTATATTTGCCTCTTTTTTAGTTGATTTTATAAGATGGCATATTAAATTATTCAATGCTTTTTTACAGTTTCCACGCGAGATTGTTAATATAAATTTGTTTATAAGAATATTTAATATAGAAAATAAACTTATTTTATTTAATATCTGAACTGAAAAATATCGCCGAATGCATTCTTGATATGCATATGTAAAATAAGAATGATAATAACACACAACAGCTATCGTTTATTGATGTTTATGTCGTCTATGAAGTTGGCGATCTCGTGTTTTACAATGAACTTTGCACTGCATTTTTAGGACTTTCAATATTTTCCCGCTTGGCACAGTTATGTGATTTGAGTTTGCAATATCTTTTCAAATAATAATGCAATACTCTGTCTTCACTTCGTTTTTAAACACAAAATTGGGAAGCCTATTTCACACAGATCATGTTCACGCAATGATCACTAGATTTTCTATTATCGCGTTTTCAAAAGTTAAACTTGTGTCGCTTAGGATCCTTCGTTTCTTAATTAAAAAATTACAATCACGAAATACCAATTACGGTAGAAGGAAATTACAAAACGTAAATTTCGCTTCTGACAATTTTACACAATGTGAACGGGGTCTATTTGTTTTATGGATTGTTTAGGGCTGAACCAACAGGGGGGCCAAAGATATCAACGCGACGCAAGCGGAGAGCTGGCAGAGCCTCCGAGTAAGTAAATTATCGAAACGTCGAAATATCCTGACTTTCATTCAAACGAATTGTAATTAAGGAGACAAAAGAAATGTTAGTTTCATTTCATTCTAAAAAATTCCTCGCATTCCATTCTG